GGTCTCTAGTTAATAGTCTTATTATGCCAATCTCACTTTTCTGGTTCCAGTCATTATACTAAGACTATGTCATGTGTCACTATTGGAGGAAACTGGGGGAAGGGTGCTAGGGAACTCTTTCTACTGTTTTTTCAACCTCTATGTGAGTCTATATTTCAAAATGGAAGTTTAAAAAAGAGAACCCAGTTTGTGTTCTAGTTGGGATGGCATTATACTTACATACTGGGAGAATTGACAGTTTTATTAAATTAAATCTTCCTACCCAATAGTAGAATATAATTATCTATGTGTTTAGATCGTTCTTTATGTCCTTCACTAGGGTTATGGTTTTCTTCGAATATGTCTAATGCCTCTATTTCAGGTTTTCTAAATATCGTGACTAACATATATTTCCATTTCCATTTTAATAGGCTTATGTCATATGATTGAATGGGGCTTTTTCTACTACATTTGTTATTTTCTTCTAGTTGGAGACTATTACCCAAATTCTGTATTTCCAACTCTCTGTCATACAGAGTCTCCACCTTCCTGTTATTTAAGTTTATATCCCCCACCCTTTTCTCTCTGCATTATGTATATTTTCTCAAGTCCCTACTCCAAACTTCAGATGTGGGTTTATGTGATTTTAAGTTATTTTTATAGCTTCAGTTTTCTCTGTGGTTTCTTCTTTATTTATTTCTTTTTTTGACTGAGGTATGTTTTACTCTTTGCTATTTTCTTTTGTGTCTTCCAACTCCTATTTCATTTTTCTTGAGGACAGACTATACAAATAAATTTTTCTAAAGTAAAATTTCTTTCAAAGATAATTTTTACCTCTGTTTTTGCATTGGTCCCATGGTGGTTTTTCACCAGCCAGGTGAAGGGGCACTCAAGAAGAGCACTCAGCCTTAGGCAGTTTGGCTCAGCAGATAGAGCGTCAGTCTGCAGACTGAAGGGTCTCAGGTTCGATTCTGGTCAAGGACACATGCCCGGGTTGCGGGCTCGATCCCCAGTAAGCTGTGTGCAGGAGGCAGTCGATCAATATTTCTCACTCATCATTGATATTTCTATCTCTCACTCCCTCTCCCTTCCTCTCTGAAATCAATAAAAAAAATATTTTTTTAAAAAAGAAAAGAATTCATATAGATTGGGGTTATCTGCCAGATGTCAAAGCATCATAAAATCGTAGAAAATTTTAAAATGACTAAAAAATTGACATGGAAACAAAGATGGCCGCAGTGAAGCAAAGAATGAAGCAGAGTGGTGACCAACTGCAAGAAAGCAAGAAAGTCTCAGGAGGAAGTGCTCCCACAAGAGACTAACCAAAGAACATATGTGCATGTGTGCAGGGCCCATGCACACAGACTATAGTGCACGAAGGCCTGGGAGGGGGCGAGGGGGGAAGTGGAGGTGGAGCAGAGGGAGGGCGTCCACTGGGGGGGAAAGAGGACATCTGCAATACCTTCAACAATAAAGATACAGTTAAATAAATAAATAAAAATTTAAAAGCATTGAATTATTTTAAAAAATGTATTCTTTTCTGCTCTCCCATTATTTGTTATTGTTGTCAATTAAGGACTAATTATAATTCTAAATACTGTATGAACCCTATAGCATGTTATTACTATTTTTGCATTAATGAATTTGAAGCAATTAAAATCAAGTAAATAATGTAAAAAAAAAAAAAGCCAGAAAAGGGTTCCCGCTCCTGTTTCCACTCTGTTCAGGGCCTCAGATGCTACCCCGCTCTTGGGTTCTGTGAGACACCTCTGTATTCTTATAACAAATGCTCTTTTATTCATAACCTTGCTCCAGTTTTGTCTGTACTTTATAGCTGAGGAGCCCTACCAGTAAAAGACTCAAACAAAAACAGATAAAATACCACACCATTCCTTCCACAGTCTCATTTCATCCTTAGCTAAGATTCATTTTTCCCAAAGACAACTTAGACACACTTTAACATGCTCACCCACAGAGCTGTCTTTCTTCTTGGGCCCCAAATCCTTTTTTTTTTTTCAGAAGAGGGCCTTTGCATTATAGAGGGTTCATTTGCATAATTTGAGGGCCAGTTTGGGAGGTTTCCAAAAATTAAGCAACAGACTTCTTAATGAAGTACTCTTGCGAGATAGTAAGCGAGCCTTAAAGTCACAAGAGGTGCAGGACCCTGGTTTATGTATTACTGTGCCACCTTGAACTGCCATTGTGCCCTCCTCCCAGTCCCTGCCTCACTTTCCTCCCAGTTCCTGCCTCACTTTCCTACCAGTTCCTGCCTCGCTTTCTTGGATTAATGAGTCCTTGTATTTCTGTGTTTACTTTGGACCCAAGGCTGAAGTTGTAGAATGGAAGCTGCAGACTTTATAAAAAATATTTTTTTATTGATTTCAGAGAGGAAGGGAGAGGAAGAGGGAGATAGAAACATCAAAGATGAGAGAGAACCATTGATAGGCTGCCTCCTGCACCCCCCACTCTGGAGATTGAGCCTGCAACCTGGTCACATCACCTGACTGGGAATGGGGCCATGACCTCATGGTTCATAGGTCAACACTCAACCACTGAGCTTTGCTGGCCAGGCAGCTACAGAGTCTTTGTGCGACTGAAATTAAGAGAAGTCATTATTTCTCATTGTGTGAGAATAAAAGATGTTCTGGATTACTAACACACTTGCATAAATCTAATTGTCCTAGAAATCTTCTAAGAGAAACAACTTTCAATATGCTGAATGTTCAAACTTGTAGAAACATCACTCTCACAGAAATCATTTGCTTAAAAGCATTTCTCCATAAAAATCTAAGTCCACAAGATCAAATTGGTTTAATAAATATTTTGGCTCATAAACAGCTATATGTCTTTTTCCTAATTTGATCAGTGTGGAGTATAATATAAGCATTTAATATTTGAAAAAAGTATTAAGCTAAATTGAATTATAATCTTTAAAATATTCTGTTGATAACAATTTAATTCTATGGTGTGTCAGCTGAAACATAATTTTCAAGATCCTTAGCTAACTTTAAGACCTGAATCAAAGCAAGCCCGGCTGATGTGACTCCATGGTGAGTGTTGACCTATGAACCAGGAGGTCACCGTTAAATTCCCAGTCAGGGCACCTGCCTGAGTTTTGGGCTCAGTCCCTGGTAGGGGTTGTGCAGGAGGCAGCCAATCAATGATTCTCTCTGACCAGGCCAGTAGGGGAGGGCAGGTTGGGGCAATCGGGCCAGCAGGGGAGCAGTTAGGCATCAATCAGGCTGGCAGGGGAGTGGTTAGGGGACAATGAGGCCTGCAGGGGAGGGCAGTTGGGGGAAATCAGGCCTGCAGGGGAGGGCAGTTGGGGGTGACCAGGCCAGCAGGGGAGGGCAGGTTGGGGCAATTGGGCCAGCAGCGGAGCAGTTAGGCGTCGATCAGGCTGGCAAGGGAGTGGTTAGGGGACAATCAGGTAGGCAGGCAAGCGGTTGGGAGCCAGCAGTCCTGGATTGTGAGAAAAATGTCCGACTGCCTGGGCAGTCGAACATCCCTCAAGGGGTCCCAGATTGGAGAAGGTGCAGGCTGGGCTGAGGGACAACCCCCCTCCACCGCACAAATTTGGTGCACCAGGCCTCTAGTATATATATCAATTGTAGGAGAACTGTATCTTTAGGGTTTGGGAAGAAAATTCTCACATTTGTGAATATCTTAAGAGCAGAGTCACTGACCGCCTACATTCTCAACTGTCTTTTCAAGGATATTTGTATAGCAAACAGCCTTGGAAAATAGAAATAGTGTCTGCCTCCAGAGCAAAGAGTAGATTTAGTAAAGATAAGGCCAGCTGCTGCTAATGCTGGGACTAGGGCTGTTTAGCAAGAATATGGAGCATGCCAAGGTCAGATCTGCATGTTCAAGGTTTGTAACCTTTGAGAGATTTTAGGAAAGTCCACAGCATGAGCCAACACTGGCCTCAGCTTTGATTCATTGTACAGTGGGGCCTTGACTTAAGAGTTTAATTCGTTCCGAGACCGAGCTCGTTAAGGAGCTCGTTAACTCAAATTACTCTATCAACTCAATGCAAAAAATCAGCAGAGAGACAGCTGGTATCTCAAAAAACTCGTTAGTCGGGACACTTGTAAGTCAAGGCCCCGCTGTACTTGTTGCCTGTGGATGCTGCTTCTCTTCACTGTAATGCAAGCAACTGACACCAAGAAGTTTCATCTGGAGCTTTGAAAGCACTCGACACACAGGTAATGCCAGGGGTCTTGATCCAGCATCTAGAAGGGTTCAGGAATCTGGAGAAGGCGCTGTGTGTAAATTAATCAACAGTCCAGAGACGAAACATAAATTTGGAAGGCATTTTGGGGGGCCAGAGGAGCTTGGCTGTAGGAATCAAGTTCTCCTGTCTCTCTGGACCCCTTGCTTTTTCTTAACACAAATTATCCTAAAGCAAGGTAGATATGCATATCAAAGGCCAAGGTTTGGTATACAGAATCCATTGTCAGACTCGGGGAACTGCCTACGGCTGATCAGGTGTTTGGCCAGCAGGAGGCAATAACATGTAGATTGCAATGCCCTCAGCTGTCTGGCAGCAAGCAATCATTTATGCATCCTTTTCAGGTTTGGGGAAATGCCCTCAGCCATTCCCAGCTGATTCAGCCCTGCTGACACCCTGGAATTGGCTTCCGGCACACAGGGGTGGCTCTGTTCTGAGAGGCTCTGGAAAGAGGATGGTCCCAGCAACAATACTGTTTTACAGCTGAGACTCAGAGAGCAGAGCTACTTGCCCTGTAAGTAACCAATCCCACCACCTGACCCAAAACTCACACAGTTTTCCCAATGCCCTGCTGCCTGCGCAAGGCTTCCTAGTGCCAACAAGCCGCAGCACATTCCTAACCCCCAATCACCAGACAACACAAAGTGTTTAGTATCTTTCTCTTCTTTTTATTCTAAAAAAAGTTGACAATAATAACCTGCAAATTGCAGAGAGTGGCGTGGTTTTTCACCTACCCACCCCATCGAACATCATTCTGCATTCCTCACACATCGTCCTCCCCCTTCCCTTCAAATCCCAGATGAAAACCCCTGGGGTGATGCAGGAGGCCCCCCAGAAAAAGAATCCCCACCCAGGTTCCCTCAGCAGGTGAAAGCATTCCCGAAATAGATTAGGGGAGAGGAGGCTAGGAGCTGGATCTGTTCAGCTCTGTCTCGCAGATCCAGTGGAAGGGCATCACGCACAGGTTATCATTCCATTGGCCATTGGCCCTGAAGTGGGCACAGTCCTCTTGCCCATGGTACCAATTGTCTGGCTGTCTTGGACTCCAGTTCCTAAGGAAAGCAGAAAGATGTGGGTCCTGGAAGCCGGACCCTCAGCCAAGCTGAGGAGTCCCTCTTGCCTCAAAAAAACACAGTAGGGATAGAAGGATCCAGACTAAAGGAACAGAGTACAGAGCACACACACTCACTGGAAGCCGGTCTTATAGTCTGTCCCGTCCACCCATGTCCAGGGACCATTTTGGTCATTAAGGCCAATCCAGGTGTCCACAGGGTACATGTGTTGCTGAAGAAACTTCTGGGGAGAGATGATGAGGGCAGTGACTTCAAGTAGGCCAACCAGCCTCCCAAATAAGCTCTCCCAGTCCTCACCTGCTCCTTCCAGGAGCCCACAACCACCAGGTGGGCGTCCTCCAGCTGGCAGTGCTTCTCAGCCTGGGGCCAGGTCAATCCAGAGCGAGAAAACCAGTAGCAGCTGCCTTCATACTCCAGCCAGCCAATGGGGCAGCAGGTATTTTGAGAGTCTGAGGTGGGAGTGGGGAGGTTCTGAGATGCTGCCCAGTGGGACATGGGCAGGATATGGGGCAAGGCGCTACCCTACACACCACTCACCATTGCTCTTGAGCGCAGCCATCTGACAATGCAGGGTGTTCAGGTCTTTGACCAGTTGCTGGACTCCCAGGAGCATTTCAGAATAATCTGAGACAAACAGAGGGGCAGTGGGGACAATGCAGGGGGCCCAACTGAGGGCTCTCCATACCCTCCCCAGGCCCAGGGGAGAGGACAAGGGGCCTGACCTGCTTTGAGTTCCTGCTGCTCTTTCTCCAGCTTGCTCTTCAGAGAAAACACCTTGTCATTCAGGCTACGGGCTGGAGGGGAGGGCACTCAGCACCCCAGGCTGCGCCCACCCCACCTCTGTCCTGAGAGCCCGGCCCCCACCCTTGCACTCTCACTCCTGGAGGGCCTCTCACCTGCTTGCAGTTCCTGCTCCTGCTTTTCCACCACAGCTTTCAGAGATGTTATTGTTGTTTGCAAACTGCCACCTGGAGGACATGGGGACTCAGTGCTCAGGATTCAGCTCTTTCCTGCTCCACCACAACCCCTCCCATCCAGAGCCCCTTCCAGCCAGGCTCACCCTGGGAGTGCAGTGCCTGGACCTCAGCCATCGTGTTGGAAGTGAAGTTGCTGAAAGTTGCTCTCAGGGTCTCCACATCACTCTGAATCCTGGCATCTGACCAGGCAGGTGGGACAATGAGAGCTAAGATTGCTCAGTCTTCTCTGTGCTGGCACTGAGCAGGGCACTTGACATACACTGGCTCTTTGGGTCCTCACAGCCACCCCACTTCAAGGGACAGGCACTGTTGTTATCCAAGCTTGCAGAGAGGAAACTCAGGCTTCCAGAGGTTAGGCACTTGGACTACATTACCCATGAGTAAGCAACAGAGCCAGCAGCCGTCTTTACCCACCATGATCATCATCAGTGCCTGGGTTACTGTACCCCACTATCACCCCCTTCCCTGCCCATCCTGGGACACTCACTTTTGGATCCAATCACGCAGATGCCAATCATCAGGAGAAGGATGAGGCCCAGAGAGAGCAGAAGGGGCCAGGGGCCAGAGCAGAGATGCTGCAGGAAGGCTGGGGGAGGAGGCAGCCCTGCAAGAGGAGAGGACATCAGGACATGGAGGTTGAAGACAGGAGAGACACGGGGGAGGAGCAGAGGGCCACAGGGACCTGTCAGGGATGAAGAGTGATGCTGGGGAGAGGTTGTGGTGCAGGAGATGCCCAGGCTAATGACCCCTCATGGACCAGCACAAGTTCTCAGTCACCTGGGCCCCTCATCCCTATGTCAACACGATGGCAATATGTAAGGTCTTATCATCAGGGCTGGGACGGGGGGGGGGGGGGCAGGAGGACACAGAGTGAGCCGGGGCAGCCAGGCCCTCAGCAGGCTTGTGCTTATCTGTATTGTCCAGTCAACAAATGTTTCCTTTCCAAGCATGACTATTCATTCCCCCAGTGCAAATGCTCAGACCCTTCCCCAGAGTATAGGCATCCAGGACTGCTTTGGTCCACCCTGATCCTGTCCTTCTCGAATCCTCTTCATATTGCAACCACCAGGAGCTAGAGCCTGATACCCACAGTGTGGGGGACCCTAGCAGTGCACATGGTAGAGGTGCAGATACACTGACAGCAGAAATCCTTCTAAACATATTAAGAGAGTATTTTAGGAGACACCATTATTCCTTTCCTCTTACCCTTTCTAGAACCCTGGCTTTTCTTCTCACTCTCCAAGGACTGGAGGTCTTCATACTTCATTGACATCCTTGGACCAACTCTGAGGCTGTCCAAGCTGAAATGGAGGCAGGGCCAGTGACCAGGCTGGGGCTGGAAATAGGAGACAAGGAAGGCTGGGACTAGGTTGGAGCTGAAGTCAGGGCTGGAGTTGAGGTAAGAGAAGAATTTCAGGTTGAGGATGAACCAGGGTTAGGGATATGAATGGGAATGGGCCTGGATTTGCAGCAGAGGTTGGAAGTGAGGTCAGGATTGGTTTTTGGGCTAGGGATGGGTTGAATGTGAGATTGAAGGTAAAGGTAGAGTTGGAGCTAAAGGTATTACTAGGACTGGGTCTTACATTGGGGATGAAGTAAGGTTGTGTCTCCTCCTAGGAATGGGGTCAATACTGATGTTGATGCCATGAATGCAGTGGGGCCTAAGTTTGGTGTTGATGTTGGAAATTGAAGAGAGTTGGGTTGGTGCTGGTGTTTGTAATGGGGTTAGGGCTGCATTTAGCCTGGAGGCTGAAGATGAGGCTGGAACTGTGCTAGAGATGGGGCAACCCAAATCCAGTTACATGAATAGAGTCTGAAATCTCCACCAGGTCATTGAATCTCCAAGCTGCCCTTTTATATCTCTTCCTTTTCAGTCCCAGTTGAGACCCACAGCCCCTCTCCCTGCTTTCTCTAACTCCCTCCCTGTCCCCTTGGTCTCACCTGCATCCCCAGCCCAGTTACCTGTGCAAAGTCTAGAGGCTGTGATTCTTGGGTTTGCCTTGCAGCAATGAGCAGAGTTGGATAAAATGAAATCCTGGAGAGTGGGGTAGAGGTGAGCGAGGGAGGAGTCAGGTTTGTGGCTGGAGTCCTGCTGGTCTCTGTGTCTAAAAGCCCAGGATTCTGTAACCTGGGATCTCCCTTTTCCTCAACTTTGGCAGTAAATGATAATTGGAACCCAGGCAGAGATTGTGCAAGTGAAGAAGCTATATATAGGGCCAGCTTTGCTCCCCACTTCACCACTACCACCCCCCGCCCCCCATCTGCGTCCGGGTGTGTCCTTTTCAGCTTCTGTTGAGCTCCCTTGACTTCCTCATTGTTGCCATTGTGGAGAGGAACCCCTCCTAGAGGGGTCCATAGGTACAGTTTGTTGCTTCTTCTTTGCCCCACCCAACCTTTCACTTCCTGCATCAGAATTTTCCATTATTGATAGTGCCTCCACCATTGCACACCCAGATCCAGAGGAGCCTTTTCTCAGTTCTTCCTCAATCGTAACCCAAGTCCCTGGCATCTGTGCTTCCTCTGGGGCCTGAGCCACCAAGCTCCCACAGCTCTGGCCTAGCTCTGCTCACTCTTCCCAGTAGGAGGGAAGAGGGTGAAGGACAGTAGGATCCCTGTCCAGATTGGGACAGGAGGATCTGGGGACATGAACAAACTTTGATTGAGCATCACATTAACCATTCAGTTCTCACAGAACCAATAGCAGTGGAGTAGGTGGATCTTTCTCCCACCTCCTCCCAGAATTTAACTAGAACTGAATGAAATTGGGGAATAGTCACCCTAAAATACCAGCTGAAGACTGGCTGAAGAGGAGACTTTTGAACTAGGAAGGGCAGAGACCTCCTCAAAACTGGTAGGAAAGGCAGGGAGCCAATGGGCACTGGCCCAGCACCAGGAGCTGCAGTCCAAGGGAGCAGAGGGTTCCCCCAGAGAGGAGAGAGGCCTGGACACCAGGCAGGGCACACCAACCTGGACAGCCAGAACTGGCAATAGCCACCATGCACCAACCAGCATCTGTGCTTCTAGTAGACCTGAACAGCCCAGGGCCAAAGCCCCTTTTTTAAAGGGCTGGTACACAGGATTTTCCCTCCCAGACACTCACCCTAGTTTTAGGCAAAGGGAGAACAGTGTGAACTATGAACAGTTAAAAGTGGTCCTGCCCTCATAGAACTTCCATTCTGGTGGTGACAGATACAATAAATGAGTAAGAAATATGCAATATTAGAGGCCTGGTGCATGAAATTCATGCACTTGGGGGCGGGAGGTGTCTCTCAGCCCAGCCTGCACCCTCTCACAATCCAGGACCCCTCAGGTAGGGTCTGGTCCCATCACAGCATGGCTCTGGTTCCCCAGATCCTGAGTGCGGGGGGAGGGACCCAGAGGCCAGTCAGATGGCAGCATGGCTCTATTCCCACAGCTCCCTCCCACCGCAGCACCGCGGGCAGCCGGGACCCACAGTTCCCACCCGCCATTGCTCCTCAGTCATCTGGGACCCAACCCATGCACAAATTCATCCACTGGGCCTCTAGTTTTAAATAATAGCCTTTCTGGTTAGAGTAGTCTTGGTTGTAGGTCTTTGTTTCTCATAACTTTGACTATTTCATGGAAATCCTTTCTGGCAGGAAGCGTTTCTGTTGAGGAATTAGCTGACAGTCTTATGGGAGCTCCTTTTAGGTAATTAACTGTCTTTCTATTACTGCTTTTAATTCTTTGTCTGTAACCTTTGAAATCTTAATTATGATGTGTCTTGGTGTGAACCTCTTTGGATTCATCTCATTTGGGACTCTCTTTGCATCTTGGACTTGTGTGTCTTTTTTCTTCACCAGGTTTAGGAAGTTTTCTGTCATTATTTCTTCAAAAAGTTCTTTATTTCTTGCTCTCTTTCTTCTCCTTCTGGTCCCCCTATGATGTGCCTACTGTTATCCTTCATGGTGTCCCAGAGCTCCCTTAGACCAGTGGTTCTCAGCCTTCTGGCCATTTATTTATTTATTTATTTATTGCTTAAAGCATTACAAAGGGTATTACATATGTGTCCTTTTTTTCCCCCCGCCCTTGACAATACCCCGGCTTCCCCTACCCCCCAGTGTCTTATGTCCATTGGTTATGCTCATATGCATGCATACAAGTCCTTCGGTTGATCTCTTACCCCCTTCCCTCCTGCCCCCCAACCCTCCCCGGCCTTCCCGCTGCAGTTTGACAATCTCTTTGAGGCAGCTCTGCCTCTGTATCTATTATTGTTCAAAAGTTTATAATGGTCTCTATTATCCATGAATGAGTGAGATCATGTGGTATTTTTCCTTCATTGACTGGCTTATTTCACTTAGCATAATGCTCTCCAGCTCCACCCATGCCATTGCAAATTGTAAGAGTTCCTTCTTTTTTACAGCAGCATAGTATTCCATCGTGTAGATGTACCACAGTTTTCTAATCCATTCATCTACTGATGGGCACTTAGGCTGTTTCCAGATCTTAGCTATGGTGAATTGTGCTGCTATGAACATATGGGTGCATATATCCTTTCTGATTGGTGTTTCTGGTTTCTTGGGATATATTCCTAGAAGTGGGATCACAGGGTCAAATGGGAGTTCCATTTCCAGTTTTTTGAGGAAACTCCATACTGTCTTCCATAGTGGCTGCACCAGTCTGCATTCCCACCAGCAGTGCACAAGTGTTCCTTTTTCTCCACATCCTCTCCAGCACTTGTCGTTTGTTGATTTGTTGATGATAGCCAGTCTGACAGGTGTGAGATGGTACCTATTGTTGTTTTGATTTGCATCTCTCAGATGATTAGTGACTTTGAGCATGTTTTCATATGTCTCTTGGCTTTCTGAATGTCCTCTTTTGAAAGGTGTCTATTTAGGTCCTTTGCCCATTTGAATTGGATTGTTTATCTTCCTTTTGTTAAGTTGTATGAGTTCCCTATAAATTTTGGAGATTAGGCCCTTATCAGATATGACATTGGCAAATATGTTTTCCCATGCAGTGGGTTTTCTCGTTGTTTTGTTGATGGTTTCTTTTGCTGTGCAGAAGCTTTTTATTTTGATGTACTTCTGGCCCTTTAAATACAGTTCCTCATGTTGTGACCCAACCATAAAATTATTTTTGTTGCTACTTCATAACTGTAATGTTGCTACTGTTATGAATCATAATGTAAATATCTGATATGCAGGATGGTCTTAGGCGACCCTGTGAAAGGGTCATTCAACCGCCAAAGGGGTCACGACCCACAGGTTGAGAACCACTGCCTTAGACTATCCTTATTTTTTTTATTTTCTTTTTCTGTTCTGATTGGATATTTCCTGCTACCTTGTCTACCAAATCACTGATTTGATCATCTGCTTCACCTAAACCACAATTTATACCTTCTTTTGAAGTGTAATTCTTCATTTTAGACATTGTATTCTTCACTTCTGACTGGTTCTTTATTATAGTTTCTACGTGCTCTTCTATGCTTACTATCTCTTTATGTTCTCGGTTCATCCGTTCTTCCCCTAAGTTCCTCGAGCATCCTTATAATCATCGTTTTGAACTTTGTATCTGGTAGATTGCTTGCCTCCATTTCATTTAGTTCTTTTTCTGGGAATTTCTCCTGTTCTTTTATTTGGGGATGTTTCTTTGTCTCCCCATTTTTAATTTTTTGTTGGTGTTGTTAATACTCATCCAAGGATATTTTTTCCACTGATTTTTAGAGAGAGTGGATAGGAATGGGGAGGGAAGAGAGAGAGAGAAGCACCATTTTGAGAGAGAGACACCAATTGGTTGCCTCCCACATGTGCCCCTAATTGGGCCAGGATTGAATCTGCAACCCAAGTACGTGCCCTTGACCAGGAATCGAACCCACGACCCTTTAGTGTATGAGCTGAAGCTCTAACCACTGAGAAATGCTGGCAGGTCTCTCCCCATTGTGGCTGCCTCTCTGTATTTGTTTCTATGCATTAGGCAGGTCTGCTATGATTTCCAGTCTTGGTATGGTGGTCTTATGTAGTAGTTGTCCTGTGGGGCTCAGTTACACAGTCTCCCTTATAACCTGAGCAAGGTGCTCTGGGAATGTTCCTTGTGTGGGTTATGTAAGCTATCCTGTTGTAGTTGAGTTTTGATTGCTCTTGGCCCCTCCGTGTATAAGCTTGAACCTCAGACTGGCTGACTGTGAGAATTAATCTCAACCATAGAGTATGAGATGCTGTCTGAGTGCTGACCACATTAAGTGGAATTCACCCCAGCAGGGTCTGCTGCCTGCTGAGATCTCCCTCTGAATATGCTGCTTATGGAGCTAAGTGGGTCCTGCTCTGATGTGGTCTGAAGCCCACCACTGGATGTGTTTCTCTGGGACATCCTGGG